ATACATTTCTAAGATATCACGTCACCTTTCAATTTCTTAACTGGGTTTTGAACAGTTTTGAAATACCTTTATCATTAATATGAGCAATTTGGAGATCTTCAAGTTATCTCCACAATAAAGAAGACAAAGCAAACATTTGACAAAAAATTAAAACCTGCTAACCAGAACAGTTAGGACACAAATGGCACATCAGCAAAACCTGACCGAAATGGCACAATCTAGATATGCCAAGTTTTGGAACCAGAACAAAAGTCTTAGATGTACCATAGTTCTTTTCACCAAGTACATTTTGATGGGGAAGCTTTCAAATATCAAAAGTTTACAAAGTCTTTACAATTTCTGTTTTGTTCAGAAACTAGTAAATTGGTAACCTATTATTCAAAGGTAAAACCACAAACAGATTGTGTACTCACTTTGCTTTTGTATAAGGGTAAAAAAACAGTACATAATTTAGGACAACAGTTATGACACAGTTCATGAGCAATTTGGTCTGGGATAAACATGCAATTCATATGACTGTCATATGAATTGCTACACTAGTCATGCTGAAGCATTACTATCTAAAACAAGTTTTTTATTGTGAGGCACAAGTTTTGGTTGGCCTATTACTTGTTGCAGCAAAGTTTGGCCTCTAAAAGACAATACCTTTTCTGAAGTTGACCATCCTGGGCTTTTGAGATCTGCTTCCTTCAGAGGAATCACAGGAGGAGAGCATTCACTCCTGAAATGCACTAGATTATTTACTATTCCTTCTCCTTCTTGAGAAATATTTGCTACCGTAGAAACAGGTATTTTTTCAGCAAAACCCTCACCTCCACCCTCATTAAAATCTCTCATGTCTTGTCGAAGGTCTTCCACATTACAATAATTTTTGTCATCAACAGCGTCAGATTTAATTTCAAATTTTTCTCTTAATAATGAGAACTTTCTACGAGGTCTTCTTCCATTTTTCTTTCGAATGCCCTGATCAATAGGATTTAATGAAGAATATTTGAACTCTTTAGGTACTTCACAATCTGGTTGTGGCTTGAGCTCAGAGAGGAAAAGAACTTCTTCAGGAGTCAGATGAGACCATGACCTTGGAACCTGAAGAAGTGATGGTAAACTGCTAGAAAAACGCTGCTGACCTTTGGAAGTTCCATCTGGGCTTCCTTGACATGCCACATTTGTCATGGCAGATGTGTCAAGTTGCAATGATCTGTAACTTCCTACATCAAAGTCTGATTCTGAGACAGTTCCAGAGTCCTCTAAAGTGTTGCTTGTGCCCATTCTTATCTCATCAATTGTGGCAACGAGAGAGCTAGCCCACCCAAGAGCCATAGAGCCACTTTCAGTTGCAGTAACAGTACTTGCACTCAAACTTGATTCTTCAAGCTCCTCCAAAATGGTATCCAAAGACGCAGGAAGAGGATGCAGCATACCATTTTGATCAACAACATATGGTTGAGCCATAAACACATTATCTTGGGAGTTCTGATGACCATTAGAGACTCTCTCTCTTTGTTCAATCTCAGCTAGGTCATAAGCTAAGGTATCCAAATAATCATCCATTCTATTATAAGATGGTCTTGGCCTACGACATGGCAGAGGGGGAGCACTGGTATCACAGTTTTCCCACTGGCGTGCTGGAGGAGGTGATTCACTTGCTGTCGACCTCTCCGAGGATGCAGAGGTCAATGTAGTTGTGGTGCCTATGCTTGCTAGAGTATCTCTTCGGCGGTCTCTGACAACACTATCATCATGCAACCAGGTTTCTATGTCAGAATAACCACGCCATGATCGCAACCCCCACGCTTCTCTTGCTATATTGACAGCACAAATATTTTCATAGTCATGAGCTGACAGCACCTCACTCGAAGTTCCATCACTTGAAATGGCTGATTGTTTGGAATCTATGTAGTCTGATTCACGCTTCTCTTCTTTCTCTTCTTTTCTTGTGATGCCTTTTGCACTTTTTTCCAAGTTTTTACTTATTGATTCAATACTACCCAGCCGTTTGACTTCAGCATTTGCCACTAATTTCTGACATAACAAGGCAAAACTTTCATCCACTATATTGAGTTTTGAAGTGACTTCTGCAAGTTGCGGTATTGGTTGTTTATCAGAATCTTCCAGCTTATCGAGATCCAATTCTACTGAGGAACAAATTCCACGTCTTTTGTTGATCCCACAAGCACCATTGATTTCAGCTTCAGCAGAAATATTTTCAATTATTTCACTTTGCTGAGTATCTTCCATCATGCTAGTGCAATTCCAAGACAACTTTGAATCATCAATATCAATACTACCACCTGGAGTACTTGGTTCTTCAACCCCCAATGGTTTAGCCAGTTGAATGGGTCTTGTATTTACAGATGAATTATTAATCGGATTTGAGTTACCTGAAGTTGATGAAAGAGTTGTGTTGGTTGAATGTACAGACTGGGTTGACAGGGCCACATTTAAAGGGTGAGATGTCCATCCTTGATGTGTAGTGGGAGGCGACTGGTGCGATTGAGAATTTAGTGTTGAGCGTGATGTCAAATTTGACATACTGGAATGATTTCCACAACTTGTGTGTGAGGTCCCACAACTTGTTTGTGATGTGCCACAGCTTGTTTGAGAGGTAGCACAGCTTGTTTGCAGTGTTCCAGGGTTGAGCACTGTTAAGCCAGTCAAACTTGACTGCTTGGACTGATCTACTACAGATGAAATTTGAGTGCCATCAGTAGATGGTAGTCGACGCATTGATCCACTACATGAGAGAAGAAGGCGCCTGTCAGTACAACCATCATCTGGCTGGGGTGATCCACCAGCGGCAGGAGCATCATCTGAGCGGCTGAAACAAAAGATTAATTTTGAGGGACAAAAAGTTAGCAGGGAAATAACAACAAAGCATAAGGGAAGGACTTATACCTGGAAAGAGACCCATCACGATCAACACTCCACAGGTGTTTTAGAGAGCGGAGTGAGTTGGACTTTTCAACATCAGAAGGCATCTGAGATGACTGAGAATAACCCAGCTGTACTTGAGAATTAGTTGATCCATCAACAGATATGTGTGTTTCACCCACGGGTGCAGATTGTACACTTTCTCTTCCATTGCAATTTGATGACTGGGTGAGTGAGTTAGTAAGTGCAGTAGGAGGACCAAACAAAGTAATTGGTCCGGAAGGATGGAAAAATCGATAGTATGTGAGCATAGCACATAATCCTGAAAATACATGATAATGATATATTTTTGAGGACACATTTGAAAATGAAATGAAACAAGTTAAGTATGATACTCTTACCAGTAATAGTTCCTCCAACAATTGCAGCAGCAGCAACAGTTGCCAGAAGAGGGTGAGTATGCTGGGCTAGGGCTAAAAACAGGTAGAGACATGCTAGGTTTTGGGTGACGGTCACAATGTAGAATGCAAGCATCCTGCCACGAGCTCGACCTTCTCGAAGATTGAAAAAGCAGAAGCAGTAGACCACACCAACAACACAATTATATGCACACTCTTCCCATGGTGTAGAACACAAGTCTGTTTTTTGGAGAACCACCCATACTGTCATTCCAAGCCAGTGCAAACCTAGAAAGGAAAGGTAAATACAAGAAAATTATATATTTAAATATTTTTATCACTTCACAAACTTGAAGACAAGTGATCAGGACAATCATTTTTAGTTAGATAAGCTGAAAGTTCATTACCTAACAATAAAAACAGCCAAGCTTGGCAACAAATTGCAAACAGAACCAAAGCTGCTATTCTCGCAACTAAAAGTCCTGTTCTCCAAACAGCCTGTAGTGCAAGTCCGGCCAATGATGCCTTTTGTTTATCAGGTCGAGCCTGACGCATTGCATGGGTATAAACTGCCATAGCCCAAGCTAATGAAATTAAAGATGCACCAGCAGACATGCCTGACACACAAAAATATAAAATTATTGGGAGTTAAAATTAAAATGCTGAGAACTAGAACCTGTTAGACCATTACTTCAATGTTTATACCTGTCCAAGGTCCCCAATCTTGCACTTGAATCATAATATACAATTGTAAAACCAACTGTGGTGCGGATTTCATGAAAGACTCAAACAATTGCAACATACTAATATCACTTTGTTGATGAAACAAAGATTGAAAATCCGCAACATCTCCACTTCTTCTTGCTTCCAGCCCTGTTTGTAAGGCATCTACATGCCTAAGAGGAGGTAAATTTAAATAAATATTAGTGAAAAATATTAACACTTCAAGAGCTCAGAGCAAAATAGACCATACCTGAAAAAAACTCCTAAGAGACAGCAATGATTTAACCATTTTGTCAGTGATGCAGCATCATCCAGCACATGCCATCGTAAACTAAATGCTTGAATAGTTACCGCTGGAATGAGTGCTAATGCTACAGTACTAAAAGCCCAAAATTTATGGCCAGCAAGGTAATAGCTGAGAATTAGAGTAGTGTCTGGAACAAAGGAAGACAGTTTTAGAAAATTTGACATTATGAGACAAAAAATACAATGTAGAATAGTTTGTGTATCCACAAGACGTAGATTAGATTAATTTCTGATATGGCTGTGAAATGTAGATCACTCTTCTTTAGCTTGAATTATAGAAGTTCATGTAAACTGCATAGGTACACTAACCCCACAAGGTGTAAACAAAGGGATTGGATTGGATTTTGTGAATGAAAATATCATCAGGAACTTATCAAAGTAGAAAAATACTATTAAAAAAATGGATAGAAACATATATTTCTTTTTTATAGTTGGTTTAAGAACATGAAAGAGGTCCAGTTCACCTCACATAAAATGTCAACAAGTGGCTCATGTTTACTTTTTGTTGTCGTTGTGGCTGGGGCATAACTCCGAATAACTCTAATTCGTAACACATGAACCCAGTATTTCGATTCCTCAAACAAGAGTCGACATCCAACGAAATAAAAGGTGAGCCTTAAACTTTTGCAAGGATAGGATGGGTGACACGGATTAAGCAATGCACCTGTCCTGTTCCCCCTCGGCCGGACCCCCAAGAGAGGTGGACCAAAGCCAAACACCTACCTGTTACAAGATGTGCTATGATGGTGACCATGGAAAAGATTATCAGCCCGGCGTCCAAATTAGTGAAGGAGAGTCTCTCTCGTTTCATCCCATTTTTGGAATTTGTGTTGCCCGTGAAGTACACGGAGCTGGTGTTGTTGGACTTCATCACCGCCATGTTATGATGAGAGACTGAAGTGAAGCTGGCTGCTTGCCTGCCTGCCTATCGCCAGGGGCGCTGATGGAGTGATGCGTCGGCTCCGGGAACTACTCATCCGGCTCCAGCTCCGGCCGGACCCAGCCTCCAGCTCCAGCGGCGGCGGACCTCAGCCTCCAGCACGCCTCCAGCACTCCTCCAGCGCAGCGGGCCGGCCGGCCCCCCGTGATTCACCGGTCCGGTGACTCCGGCCCGGCTCCAGAGCTCTCCCCCCTCCCCCATCCCGCCCCCCTTCCC